CCCGAGCCTCCGGCGCGCGAGCACGAGCACCGCCCCACCGCGCTCGGAGCCGAGAACCAAGCGCGCGCCCGAGCAGCGCTCACCGCGACTCCGCCGGCGCGCGCCCCTCAGGAGTTCCACAAAAATCCGCGCTCCGCACGCCCCCTGCGAGCCGCCGCCGTAAAAGGCAGACAAAAGCACAGCCTTCTCCAATGGGAAAGCTGGAACGTCTTCTTAGTCCCGCCTCCCTCCCGCCTACACGCCCATCCTCTACTCCAATAAGACGGCCGGGAAAGGAGGCGTGAGCCGCGAAGCATACCGGGAACTGTAGTTGTCAGGCTCCGCGGGACTGGCAGGGGCAGAAGCCTGGGTGCCGCCTGTTCTGCAGCCTTCATTTCCCATCGTGCTGAGGTGGGTGGCATGGCGGAGAAGGATGACACCGGAGTTTGACGAAGAGGTGGTTTTTGAGGTAAGGGGAAAATGGCGGTGGGCGTGGATTGCCTTTGTTTGAGAAGGGCCACAAGGAAAGCGAGGAGGCCAGGCGAGCCCCGAAGGAGGAATGGGCTGACGCGCTCCTGCGGGTCGGAGCCACCGACACCCGCGGTTTCGGGGCCTAGCTGCGGCCGCGGCCTGACAGGTGGAGCCCGAGCGCCCAGGCGGCGGCCGGCCTGTGCCTCGGGCCCGCCCAGAGTCCCGGCCGCGGCCCGGCTGCCCGGTGGTTGGGCGGGAGCGCTGTCTGTTCCCGCCCGGGTTGGAGGCGCCGCGGGGAGCCGCCCGCCTGGCTGGGGCGGGGCCGAACTGCCTGCCGGGCGCCCCGAGACAACTTCACCTCCCCTTTCCCTCCGCGATCTTTTGGGGGTCAGATCCGGGAGCGCTGCGGGTCACCCGGTGCGGTCCGGGCGTGGCCCCCGGGACGCGGGCAGCAGGTGCCGGTGCCCTGGCACCGCGTCAAGACTCTGGGCGTGGGACCTGCGGTGGGCGGTGAGCGCCAGGGCAGCTCAGCAGCGAGGTTCCTATTCTTTTGTCCTTCGCTGTTGCGCTAGGTGTAGCCAGTTCTCCTGAATCGAGGCTCTGGATGTGAGTGCTTTTGTGTGGCACTATTTTAAGGCGTACTCTGCCATCTTGAATGAAAAAAAATCCAGCGAGTGTTTTTGATGCCATTTTTCGATCAGACACAGGTCAAATCTCAAAGCCCTGTAGGTACGGGTTGCATATGTATGCGTTACTTTCCTGCATCCAACTAGGGTTTGAGAAAATTGGTTTAAAAAATGAATGCGTGGAAGAAGTGGCCCAGGTCATACAACAAGAGAGCGAGGGACTAACGGTGCGGAATGTGAAATGTTGAAATAGGTACAAACTGTTACTGCATTATTTGGAAACAGCTGCTGTTCTTGCCTACCTCCAAGAGCTACGCCCAGTCAGTGGCGGCACAGGTGAATTTTGAGCTGTGAATCGGATTAGAAAGACAGAAGAAGGCATTACAGGGAAAGAGCGCTGGGGATTGGAGGTGTGCAAGTGCCTGGCTTGCATTTTTTAGGGCCTCAGGGGTGGCTGGTCTCTATGTAAAGTGGTTCAATGTGGCAGCAAATATGATAGTGGAAAATGTGACCATTTTACTATAGTGAAGAGAGGCTGGATGTGAATTCACTAGAGAAGATAGGGGCCTGAATTTTGGAAGTGAGAGAGGAAATGATGAAATGACTTGGACGGGCATTTCTAGGGTAAAATTGAGGAAATGGAAGATTGAATGTGGGAGTCGAAGGAGACAAATCTAGGTTGCTTAGATTTCTAGAATAAGGGTGGCTGTATTTCTTTTATACTATTTTAAAATTCTTCTGAATATAATGGTCATAAATGCTCAAAAACATTTTATTGTGGAAAATAAACCAAAAATCTTTTGTCTCACCACCCAAAGATGGCCATTGTTAATAATATGGTGTATGTTCTTATAGATTGTCTTTTTAAATGTGTTTATGTGTGTGATACTTTTTAACAGAAAACGTATACCATATAGAATTTTTTATGCATTTTTCATTTAAATATATCTTAAATGTTTCTTACTCATTATTCTTTGAAAACATTAAGAATATAATATCCTACCACCTACATACATGTACCATAGCCATTTTATGTATAGAATGTCTCAAAATACCATTGTAATCAACACTGATAAAGTTCATCTTTAACTAGAACTCTGATTTTTCCCCAGAATAATTTCTAGAAACTAGTAGGTCTAGGTTTTATACTAGTAGGTCTAGCTGGGTGTGGTGGCACACACCTGTAATCCCAGCACTCAAGAGGCTGAGACAGGAGGATTGTTGCAAGTTCAAGACCAGCATGGGCTACAAAGTGAGCTCAAGGCGAGCCTGAACTGCACAGTGAGACCCTGTCTCAAAAAAAAGACATACATAAATAAATAAAAATAAACTTGTAGGTCTAGATTTAAAAAACACACAACATAAGTCTTTTTAAGAAGACTTATGCAGAAAGGTTATACCAATTCACATTTTTATTAGGAACAAGAGATATTAATGTTTTTTGGTTTTTTTGGTACTGGAGTTTGACCTCATCCCTACCAAGCTACATCCTCAGCCTTCTTGCTAACTTGCCCAAACTGGGCTTGAATTTGGGGTCCTCCTACCTCAGCCTCCTAGAATGCAGGGATTACAGGCATGGGCCTCTATGCCCAGCTCATCAACAACTGTATTAGTGTCCTTTAATCTTTTGCTAACTTGATAGGCAAAAATAGAATTCCATTGTTATAGTTTACATTTTGTGTATTTATATATTATTTTCTTTGCTTGAGCTTTTCTCTTTATTTGGGGGGTCTATTTTTCATTGGATACTAGCTTTTGTTTTATTTTTGGTCCTGGGGATCAAATCCAGGGTCTGACACATGCTAAGCATATGCTGTACCTCTGAGCCATACTCCCAGCCAGCCTACCTTCTTAATCACTGATTTACATGAGTTCTTCATATATGAAGAACTGTTTGTCATACCTGTAGAAAAATTTTTCCACTTTGCTGTTTATTTACTCTGTCATACATGTTAAATGTTTTTGCAGCATCATCTTCATAAGGAGTGTGCACAGATCATAAGCATGCACAGTGGTGGGTGTTCACATGTTGAACACACCAGTGTAGCCATCCAATGAGATAGATCCTAGATCAACCATTTCTTAGTGACTGTGATTTTAAACAGATTGTTAGTCTAAGCTTCAGATCAACAAACAGAAAATCATGGCACAACCACAGGCTCCCTCCTGCTGTTTTTCACTTGTTCCATCTCATCCCAAAGATGACCACTGTTTACTAACCTAGATAGTTTTATCTATTTGTATTGCTTACACACTGTGCAATTCTATTTATGTTTTTTGTTTGTTTGTTTGTTTTGAGACAGGATCTAGCTATGCAATTCAAGCTGGCTTTGAATTCACCTTGTAGCCCAGGCTGGCCTTGAACTCACAGCGATCCTTCTCAGTGTCCCAAATGCAGGGGTTACAGGTGTGCAGAATTACACCTGGCTCCATTTATGTTCTTTTGTGCCTGGCTTTTTTTCCCTATCTCTCTCTGGATTTATGTATGAAATTCATCCATATTGTTATCTGAGCATTTTTATTTTAGCATAGTATGGCGGGGGAGATGCACCCTTCCAGGCCATGCCCCCAGTAACCTACCTCATCTACTAGACCACCTCCTAAGAGCACATTTGGCTATCCACTCATCAATCCACTGATAAGTGTATCTTCCCCATGATCCAGCAAAATCTATAGATTAGTTTTGACATCTTACGGTATCAAATCTTCTGATCTGTGAAATATTTATTGCTTGCCCTCATTGTATGTGGGTGCATGCATGTGCACACTGTAGATTGAACCCAGGGTCTTGTACATGTGAAGCAGCTGTGTTGCCACTGCACTACAGCCCCTTCCCACCATTGCTTGCCTTCTGAGTGAGTGAGACAGCTTCTCATCTCCTTCCAAAGTCTATAACTGATTTCACAGAGTGATCTCTGTCTCTCTCTCTCTTTTTTTTAGTGATCTCTTTTGTGAGGCTATTGCTAAGTTAACCCTTAAAAAGATCTAGGCCTTGGGGAATGGATGTTGTCTATCTGTTCCTTTTATGGTTATTGCTCAGTTGCCATTTTCTATTTTGATAACTTTCTTATGCTGAAAGCCAGTTTAGTATAAAGGTATGGGCTCTGGAGTGGACATCCATTGAGATCCGAGATCAACCATTTCTTAGTGAATGTGATTTTAAACAGATTGCTAGTCTAAGCTTCAGTTTTCTCGGTATTAGAGATAACAATACCTATCTCATAGAGTAGTTGTATTAAATTACTTAATATAAGTAAATTACTTACATAAATACCTGACATGTTATAAGCATTCAGTAAATATTACCTGTTGTTAAATTTTTCCTACAAGTTGCTCTATATATAGGTTTTCAAAGTTATTGGTGTAATGTGTTGTTAATATGTTTGTTTGTTTGTGTGGTACTAGAGATTAAACCCAAGACTTTCATAGTGCACTATATCCCCAGCTCCTCTTCTGAGACAGAGCCTGTCTAAATTGACCAGGTAGGACTGGAACTTGTGATCCTCCTGTCTCAGCCTTCTGAGTACTAGGATTATAGGCATGCTGCACAGTGCCCAGCTTTTTAGTAATTTCTTAAGTTTTATTCTTATTTATAGCCGTAATGAAATCTTGTTTTTTCATCCCTTCTGTTTGTCTTGCATAGATTTGTAAGAGTTTTAACTCGCAAGATAGACATTCAAAGAACTAGTTACTAGTTTTGTTTGACCAGCTTAAGTGTGTTTCTTTTTTGCTTTTAGTTTTTTAAAATTTCTGCTTTTATTTATTTTATTTCTTCTTTGTGCTTGACTGGTTTTTTTCTTTACCTTCACTTAAATACTGAAAATAATGTATAAGGTTATAAATTTTCCTGAGTACGTTTTTGACTGCAACACATGAGTTTTGTCCCATCGGGTTTTTTTGTTTTTGGAGGTTTTTTTGTAGCAGGAATCAAACTCAGGACCTTGTACTTGCCAGGCAGATGCTTGTGCCACTGAGCTATATCCCTGGCCCCTGTCTCATGGTTTTATAGGTTTCATTTTGGTTTCTTCCTTAATCCATTGCTCCTTTAGCTGGGGGTGGTGGCACACACCTATGATCTCAGTGTTCAGGAGGCTGAGACAGGAGGATCACCTCAAGTTTGAGGCCAGCCTGAGCTACACAGTGAGCTAAAGAGAAGAAGAAACAACAACAACAACAAAACCCCACCAAATTGTACCCCATTGCTCCTTTAACACCCACGTGTAGGAGTAAAAAGTTGACAATTACTGTTGGTGAGATGTGTGATTCCTCCTGGCTAGTACAGATGCCATTGCCTATATCACTTTGCCCTTTGGGTTCCTTTGGTTTCCGTAGCTATTAGCCTGTGGGAAGGCTCAGTCTGAGGGGAGAGAGC